ATGAGCCACTGTACCCAGCCTAAATAAGTCTTTGAATTCAAATAAGGTATAAAAAATGTGTATCTTTAATTTATCAAAAAAAAAAAAAAGTAAAAGTCTCTTATAATCCCATCACCCATAGACAACCACTTCCTATTTTAATTTAAATGAAGATTTGAAAATTAACATGGCTAAGCAGGAAAAAAAAAAAAAAGCTTGAGTATACTGATACTAAAAAGGGAATTTATGTAAAAAGGAGAAAAGCTGTTGTGAACTTTGTAACCAAAGCTACAAAGGATTGAAAGCAACTGAAAATTATTTTAAGATTATAAACAAAGTTTTTTAAAACACCTTAATGATTATTAATAACATTACATGTCTATTTGTAGAAAAATGCCTTAATTATAATGATTATATGTTAATTACAAATACTGACCAGGCACAGTAGCTTACACCTATAATCCCAGCACTTTGGGAGGCCAAGGTCGGGGGATTGCTTGAACTCAGGAGTTCAAGACCAGCCTGGCCAACATAGTGAAACCTCATCTCTACAAAAGATACAAAAATTAGCCAGGTGGGATGGTGTGCACCTGTAGTCCCAGCTACTGAGGAGGCTGAGGTGGGAGGATCTCTTGAGCCCAGGAGGTCAAGGCTGCAGTGAACTGTGATTGCACCACTGCACTGGGCAACAGTGCAGCCTGGGCAACAGAGTGAGACCTTGCCTCAAATAAATAAATAAATAAATAAATAAATAAATAATATTGTGTTATACATATAACTTCTCAACTTCAGTTAACAAAGGCTTGAAAACCTGTAAATACAACTGAGCACCCCTAATGCAAAAATCCAAAATCTGAAACGCTCCAAAATCCAAAACTTTCTGAGCACCAACATGGTGCCACAAGGGGAAAATTCCACACCTGACCTCATGTAGTAAGTCACAGTCAAAATGCAGACTTACAAGAGGTTACTGAGTGTCCCTAAGGGAAGAATGAAACTGCCTTCAGGGTATGTGTATGAGGTGCATATGAAACAGAGGAATTTCACATTTACATTTGGGTCTCATCCCCAAAATATCTCATTATGTATATGCAAATATTCCAAAATCCAGGAAAGAAATCCCAAATCTAAAACTTCTGGTTCCAAGCATTTTGGATAAAGTATTCTCAACCTATACTGAAAGAAACTTAACTGGAGCATTCCTTATTTAAAAGCAAATCCCACTGGCTCATGTCTATAATCCCAGCACTTTGGAAGGTCAAGGTGGGTGGGTTGCTTGACTTCAGGAGTTCGAGACCAGACTGAACAACATGGTGAAACCCAATCTCTACTAAAAACACAAAAAACGTAGCTGGGCATGCTGGTGTGTGCCTGTAGTCCCAGCTACTTGGGAGGCTAAGATGGGAGAATCACCCTAGACACAGGGAGGTCGAGGCTGCAATAAACCAAAATCACACCACTGTACTCCAGCCTGGGCAATCGGAGTGACATTGATTAAAAAAAAAAAAAAAAAAAAAAACTGTTAAAAAGTAACTAAAATAAATAAAATAAATCCCTGGGTCAGGTGCAGTAGAACATGCCTGTAATCCCAGGCACTCTGGGAGGCAGATGAGGGAAATCACGAGGTCAGGAGTTCGAGACAGCCTGGCCAACATGGTGAAACCCCATCTCTGCTAAAAATATAAAAATTAGCCAGGGGTGGTGGTGCTCACCTGTAAATCCCAGCTACTCAGGAGGCTGAGGCAAGGAGAATCACTTGTGAACCCGGGAGGCGAAGGTTGCAGTGACAGTCTGCGAGACCGTGCCACTGCACAAGCAGCTAGGTGAGAGTGAGATCCATCTCAAAAAAAAAAAAAAAAAAAAAGAAATCCGGGGTCAGGCGCAGTGCCTCACACCTGTAATCCCAGCACTTTAAGAGGCCGAGGCCCGGCGAATCAGCGAGGTCAGGCAACTCGAGACCCCATCCTGGTTAACCACGGTGAAACCCCGTCTCTACTAAAAAATACAAAAAATTAGCCAGGCTCAGTGGTGGGCGCCTGTAGTTCCAGCTCTCAGGAGGCTGAGGCAGGAGAATGGCATGAACCCGGGAGCAGAGGCTTGCAGTGAACCGAGATCGTGCCACGCGCACCCCCCCTGGGCCAACAGAGCGAGACCTCCGTCTCAAAAAAAAAAAAAAGGAATAATATGTGCACATACATGTTCGTATAATATGTAAGTGTGAACTGTCAAGGACTTGATCAATTTGGGTATTTCTTAGTCTCCTACTTAACACCAGCACTTACTACAAGAATCTGATAATTGCCATTTCTGGAAGAGAGAAGCAGGTAACAGGGAGAGAGCGAGAGATCTACTTTTCACTGCATATCACTTCTGTACCCCGTAACTTTTTTTTTTTTTTTTAAATTTTAGACGGAGTTTCACTGTGTCGTCCAGCTGGACGGCAGTGGCGCGATCTCAGCTCACTGCAACTTCCACCTCCCAGGTTCAAGCAATTCTCCTGCCTCAGCTTCCCAAGTAGCTGGGATTACCGGCACCTGTCACCATGCCTGGCTAATTTTTGTATTTTTAGTAGAGATGGGTTTCCCCATGTTGGCCAGGCTGGTCTCTATCTCCTGACCTCAGGTGATCCTCCCGCCTCGGCCTCCCAAAGTGCTGGGATTACAGGCGTGAGCCACCATGCCGGGCCTGTACCCCTTAACTTTTGTACCCTGAGCATGCATTATCTATTTTTTTAAAATTTTTTTAAAGTTTAGAATCTACTAAACTAACCTGACTAGTTCTACAATTCCACATTATTTTTCTCACCATATGAGTAACAAACCAAAACAAGTTTGCCTGTTACAGCACAATATTTCAACTATGGCTGGGCGTGGTGGCTCATGCTTGTAATCTCAGCACTTTGGGAGGCCAAGGTGGGTGGATCACCTGAGGTCAGCAGTTCAAGACCAGCCTGGCCAACATGGTGAAACCCTGTCTCTACTAAAAATAGAAAAAATTATCTGGGCATGGTGGCGCACGCCTGTAATCTCAGCTACTTGGGTGGCTGAGGCAGGAGAATCGCTTGAACCCAGGAGGCGGAGGTTGCAGTGAGCTGAGATCATGCCATTGCACTCTAGCCTAGGTGACAAAGAAAGACTCTGTCTCAAAAAAAAAAAAAATTCAACTATATTAAAACACTTCAGAATGTTTCTCATAGCTATAGTGCTGTCAAAGCTTCAAATCATTTTTTAAAAATTCACCAAATGCCTTTTTTTTTTCCAGTCTACACAAAATAAAAACAAGTTTTACTTGTCCCTGTTTAGAGTGTAGCAGGTCAGGCAGCAGTGATCCCAGCAACTCTGACTTACTCAAGGCTCAAAGTTAATTCCCTTCACTCCGAAGCCCGGGAGGAAAATGTCCCCTCCAGAATGGTTCTTACTCTTCCACTGGAGAAAACAGAAACTAAATTATAAAATAGTTAGGCCTGCCTGTGAGGAAAAGAGAGGAAGGTGCATTTATCACCATGTAACCCTACAGGTGTTTTTGACCCTGTAAAACGTTGGCCACCAATGGGGGCTTATTTATGAGCTTGCAAAGACATGGGATTAAACTACTAAGAACTGTTTCCAAGACATGGTCAACCTGGATATTTTTTAAGACACCTGCCTACACCAGCACCACTCCCCCGCGCCCCCTACCATTTGGTGGTTTCCTCCCTTTAAGGACAATCCACGTACTGTTACCTCTCTGCAGGCTCCCAGAGACAAACACATAATACAAACATGCACACACTCCCCCCCTCATCACATAGATGATGACTGTGTTCCTCCTTTAACAATACTAGGGAAGTAGATGACAGTCTGCATGCAAAACACACCTAGGAGGTGATCAAATAGCAGTCCCCTTCTCCCTTACCCAGAAGGCATTCCTTTTATTTTTAATTTATCTAGGCTCACATCCAATTATTCACAAGCTTAGTGTTTTTTCCTTCAGCTGCCCCAACACTTCTGGAGCTAACATTTTTTCCTCATATACCTTGAAATAGTCAACTCATAGAGACTCATACCCAGGAAGTCACTTTCAGCTCTTTTGTTTTTTTTTTTTGAGATCAGGGTCTCACTCTGGCCCCAACTGAAGTGCAGTGGCACAATCATAGCTCACTGTAACCTTGAGCTTCTGGGCGGGCTCAACCAATCCTCCTAACTCAGCCTTCCAAGTAGCTAGAACTACACTTAATTTGCATAAGCTAGAACTACACTTAATTTGCATAATTAAGTCAGAACCTTGACAGTAGTTTCCTATTTCCATTTCTCCATTTACATGCCTTGCTCTTAGAATTTTAGAAGCAGGTATTTCATATTTTTAAAGGGTTGTAAAACAAATTAAATAAGGAAGTTGCAGCGCCTAAAATATTCACCATCTGAGAGCACTTTAGAGAAAAATTGACTGACTCCTATTTTAAAAAGCCTATTTTCACATAATTATAATGGTGGCTAATTTTTTTTTTTTTTTCTTGTAGAGCAGGGGATCTCACTATGTTGCCCAGACTCCTGGGCAGCTCCTGGGCAACTCCTGACCTCAAGCAATCCCCCCACCTCCTGCCTCAGCCTCCACCTCCCAAACTGCTGAGACTGCTGGTGTCAGCCACTGAACCCAGCCCTTACGTGTTATAATAATATGAAAATAGGCTCTTTAAAATAGGAGTCAGCCAATTTTTCTCTAAAGTACTCTCAGATAGTGAATATTTTAGGCTCTGGAACTTCCTTAATTTATTTAATTTGTTTTAAACCCTTTAAAAATATAAAAAACATTCTTAGCTGTTAAGACAAAAATAGGCCTAGTCAAATAGGCCACGAGTTTGCCAAACCCTGTTCTAAACGGTCAATTCACTTTTATCCACTTTTATTTGTAGTTATTTTTCCCCTTGAGAGTTCTATTTAAATGATATTATTTGCACAATTAATCAGAACCTTGACACTAGTTTCATATTTCTATCTCTCCATTTGCATATCTTGCTCTTAGAATTTTAGAAGCAGATATTTAAGAAAGCAGAAAAGGGAACTAATAAAAGTAATGAGTAAGAATTAAAAAATGAAAAAGCCAAAACACCTGAACAATTCAAAACCATGCTAGAATGGACCAAGAGGGAGCTGAATGGAAGCATTATCTGAGCAATGTAAAATAGCCCAGAAATGAGTAACAAAATAAAAACTCATCTGAAATCAAACTTTAGGGTGGAAGTTTTAGAAAGACAAGGGGAAACAAAAGGTCAGGTCAAACCCACATATCTGTTAGTGTAAAAACCCAGAAGCCTCCTCCCAAATCCGTTCTCAATGTCATGTATGAGGGCCACCTGGAGAGGCCCCCTTGGGAGGAGGAAGTTATAGGTCACTAGATCTCCCGTCCTCTTCCCACTCTACATAACTCTATCTTCCACACTGCTCCCAGATTATCTTCTGAAAGAAATCATGACAGCACCCCTATTCCTCCATGCCCCACCCCCACTTACGCCCCAATACTGTCCACACTTGGTAGAGCAAGCAAGGTCAAGGTTACATGACACCATACTCCAGCCTCTTCCTAGGTTAGTTTTTCAATCACTAGTGTCCCTCAGATCACCTAGGGCATTCATTAAAATGAAGATTCCAAGGCTCCACTCTTCTCTCTGAAATGGATCCCCAGGGAAACTACACTTTACAAGTACCCCAGATGACCACATACCAGGCTGCCAGAGGTCCACACTTTGAGAAAGAAACCTTCAAAGGGGTTGCTCACCTCCTCCTCTCACAGCAGAGGCACCTGCCCCACCTCCTTCACCCCCCAGTCTCCTCTTCACCTTCTCAACCTCCCTCTTAAACCAGAAGATTCAACAGATTTTTTATTTAACAGCCCAGCTTCCGGACCACCCTGCCTGTGCCCAGCACTGTCCTCCCCCAGCCAGACTGAGCTCCACATGCTGGCTTCTTTATCTGGAATACCCATTGCTGCTGGTTGAGACCCTTCCCACCTTCCAAGATGGTTCAAATACCACCTTCCACGAACCCTTCCCTAGGCACAATTCCTTTCTTTTTCCTCCAAACTCTGCTGCATTTTATTTATCTATTATCACCTGTAAAATTGTGCCATATTACTGAGGGTAGGGGAAAGTGTTGTTCACAGATACGCCCTCCAGAGTGCCCAAAATAACACCTTCGAAAGGTTTTAAATTGAGTTTGTTCATGAAAAACCTCCTGTGATGCTATCAGACCGATATTATTCTAAACTGTGCTCCACAAAGATAAGTTTTAGGAACTGCAATATGTTAAACAATATCTAGCAGGACTTGCACTGGCAGAAGGATCAGACTTTGTTTTGTCTTACTTGGCCTTGGCAGGCAGTGTTTGTGAAAAAGTTGAATCCGAATTCAACAGAACTAGGGGAGGATCCAGTTGACAAAGGCACCACCACATAGGGTATTCACTCAACAATCTTATCTGTCCCACCACTGGGGAAGGCTTTTGAGATTGTCACTTCTACTCAGCTGCTAAAGCAGAAACTACATAAACACTGAGTGATGAGACAAACTCACAGTGAGCACATGGAGGCTCTGAGAAACCAAAGCAGGCCAAAATAAACACGTGGAAATAAACACCCAGAGGAAAGATGGAAGAAAAACAGCACTAGGATCAACTGAGAATTGAAAATATCATCAGCAGAGAGTAAGAAGTGATAAACTTGCCAGAGGTAAGACCTCTACTGAAAATGCTGGAAGAAAAGGAAATTTCCTAAAAAGTAATCATCATCACAGAAAAATCAACAGCCTTTTATGTAATGTTTTCTGAAGAGGTATTAACCTTAGAATCTGAACATGGCTTTTATCAAAAGAAAGTCCTGCGGGGGAAAATCCATTAAATAATGCCAAGGTTGTTATATAAATAAAATAAGGGTTCCTTCTCAAAGGCTTATTTATATCTCAGACTTAAAAAATATCAAAGACTACATTATAATCTTAACATATGGCAAAAACACTCTCTATATCACTTTAAGTTGTTTACCTGCTAACTCAAATGCAAAATCAGATTTGAAATTAAGCAAGAGATGTGAGTGAGTTCTTCTCCCTTCTTTGGGTCTGTCAAGTTCAGTTTTACACAGCAGTAGACAAACAGGAACTTCACCCTTCACTGCCTTCTACTGAACTCTCCATCAGAAGGACCAGGAGACTTAATCCACAGCCCACAGAGTCCATAAATCCCACCGCTTCCTGATGAAGCACAGTGGGACTAATTATAACAAATGAGTTGCATATCATCCTATCAACTTGGAATATTAATCTCTCAGTCATTTACAGCCTACTTTCAACCCCAAATGGGAACTTGGAAGGAGACAAAATCCAAGAAGCCATATTAAATCCAAGTGAGACTTTAAATCCTGGAGAAACTTTTCTGATCACTGTGGGATTTACGTAAGTATTCAAGGCCAAGGTGAAAGCAAAATTCTGTAGCCAAAATATCATTGATCTGCTCAGTCTGAAATTATCTATTCTAATGAAGGAAACCAGCATGTGTGCCTTATCAATGCTGCTTATCTCGCGGGGGCAGACAACCTGGAAACTGCGTTAGAATAGATCCTCAATTAAGAAACATTCAGTTAACATGATGGGGCTGCCTCTTGACACTGCGAATGTTTTGCTGTGTTCATACATCAAAGGAAAACTGTCATGAATCATCAGGTAAAGGCAGCAGAAAAGGAAGCACAGTTTGCCTGGTGTTTGTTTCATTAAACAGCTCCCAAAGGGGACAATCGAATACTAACTGGCAAAAAAGTTGTAGGAGGCGCCTCTCTCCAACTGGAATGTCCAAAGACACCCAAGTGCTGAAAATTCCCCCATACTCAACGTCTGAATTCTCCCCTCTGCCCTCTCCTCTTCGTCGGAAGAAAACCCGCTAACAACAATCCCATGCTTGACCAAGTGGGAAAAGCTTTCAACTTCCCTTTACTTCGTCCAACCCTAGGGATAACGCACTCCCAGATCCCGACCTCCCCTTGAACCTGCCCTCTGAGATCTTAGTCTAGTTTCTCCCGAGGGTCCCCAGCCCCTTCCTCCCCACTGCCCTTTAACCCCTTCCCCTGCCCCGGGCCCCGTCCGCACCCCAACGCAGACCCTCGCCCGCCGCCTCCCCGACTCCCTTCCCGGAGCCCCCAACGCTGCCCTGCCCCTCGGGGCCTCCTCCTCGCAACTCCACATGATGTTCCTCCCGCCCGCGGTTCCCCCCCGCTGCCCCCCAGCGCCTCACCACTCTACCTAGGCAGCGCTCCCGCAGGCAAGGCCGCGCCCCCCAGGCGCTTGCCCTCCGAGGTCCCTGGCGCAGGGGCCCCTTGGCCCACCACGCCCCCCGCGGATAAAGGGTGACGCAGCGGACCCCGTCCCTGCCCTGCGGGCCCGGTCGCCTCGCTCACCCACACGAAGAGGCTATCTGAGAGCAGGTACTGGGCCACGTCGCGGGCCCGTGGTCCCCCCGCGCTCGGCCGGGCGGGCGCCGGCGGCTCGGGTTGCAGCGAGGCCGTTAGCTGGTCCGGCTCGCCCGGGCCGACCTCAGGCTGGCTGAGCGCGCGGTAGGCGCTGATGATGGTGCCCAGCAGGGCCAGGCCGCTGAGGCCCGTGTACGTGCGGAGGCTGGGCCAGGGGAAGCGCTCGAGGAAGAGCAGCGGCATGGCGGCAGCGGCGACCTCCGGTTCCGGGCCCCTCAGCGCTGCGGCGGGTCCCCTGCCGCGGTCTCGCGAACGGGCGCACGCGGCGTCTGGCGTCGGCTGCGCTGCCGCTGCCGCCCGCCGCTGCCCGCCGCCGCCGGCGGCCGCCGCGCCGGCCGGCCGGGCCCTCCTGGCGTGGCGCCGCCTCCAGGCCCCCGCGCCTTCGCTCCCGCTGCTGCCCCTGCCGGCGCGGAAGAGCCTCGGCGGGCTCCGGGCAGGCCACCGCCCCCAGCGGGACGCGGGCGGGACGGGCGCAGGGGCGCGGCCTTCGTCCCCCGCCCCCAGCGGTCGCGCCGCCGCCTAGCGGGCGTAGGCCCAGGCCTCAGGCCCCGGGGGCCGGCACCCAGCATTATCCGCTGCCCGCACCACGGCTCGGCTGGGCCCACGGACACAGAGGGCACCTGCTCCGGCCGCGGCGCAGGCGTCACTCGGGCCCGCAGGAGCTGACGGGCGGGCCGGGCCTCAGGGCGCGGGGGACCCTGGCCACCAGGCCGCTGCCCATTTAACCCCCACCATTAACCCTCTGAAGCAGGTTACCCCCAAGCACTCCTAGGGGCCGAGCAGCTTCCCTGGTGCCCAAAACCCCAGAAGAAAAAATATTAACAGTCTTTCAAGTTTCTGCTGTTTACTAGTAGCCTCCAGCAGAAACTAAAAAATGAACCTGATTTAGCGGGAAATAAAAATGTGTTCCCTCATACACCAGAAGTGAGAATGTCAAATGGTGCGGCTGTCTTGGAAAATAATCTGTCCTTAAAGTCAAACAAGAGTGACCATTTGACCCAGTAATTCCAGTCCTCTAAGAAAAGTGGAAACATACCTCCACACAAAACTTGTACAGAAATGTTGATACCATTCTAACAACCAAAAGATGGGAACAACGCTAATGTCCATCAAGTGATGAGTAGATAAATGTGATATATCCATACAATGTACTATTCGGTCATAAAAATGAACTACTGATACATGCTACAATAGAGATGAACCTTAAACACGTGCTAAGTCAAAGAAGACAGCCACAAAGGTCCACGTGTTGTGTGATTCCATTGATATGAAATGTCCACAATAGGCAAGTACATATACAGACACAGAAAGTTGATTAATGGTTGCTTAGGGATGGGAGGAAGAGGGAAGGTAGGGGGTGATAAAGGGCGCAGGTTTCTTTTAAGAGACAGGGTCTGTGGCCCAGGCTGGAGTACGTACTGTGGCAGGAGCATGGCTCACTGCATCCTCCACCTTCTGGGCTCAAGAAATCTTCCTGCTTCAGTCTCTCCAGTAGATGGGATTATAGGCATATGCCACCACACGTGGCTAATTCTTAATTTTTGGTAGAGACAGCGTGTTGTTATATGGTCCAGACCTGTCTGTGGCTCCTGAGCCCAAGTGATCCTCCCACCGCGGCTTCAGAAAGTGCAGGGATTACAGGCGTGAGTCACTGGCTGGGATAGGTTTGTTTTCAAAGTGATGAAAATGTAAAATTGAGGTGATGATTGCACAACTCTGAAAAATCATTGAATTGTACACTTTAAATAGTTCTATCTCAATATGTGAATTGTATCTCAATAAGCTGTTACCAAAGGAAAAAAAATGTTACCTTGGGAGTTTTATTCCTTTTGCATCCCCAAGGCCTGTAATACTTCCCAGCCCAGAGTAGGTGCTCTGTAAATATTTGTAGGATTTTCCAAACTTTCTAAAGAAAAGGACCAAATTATCTTTCAAAGTCTTTCTTCATGCCTAATATTCTAAAAACAAAAGATCTCTCAGGCTTACCATTCCACTTTGGAAATTTAGAAACATCTTGTTAAAGGGTCTTTGATGAACGTTTAGTTTTACCGGGACAAGGAGAGGTCTTACCTTTGTACACGTGCATTTTTTAAAAACAAGGTCTATATGAATACTAGAGTTCACTTTGGTTTTTTTCCCACAGCCATGCAATTAAAATGCTACACTTTAAACTTTATCAGTAAAACAAAGGAAAACTTTATTTTGAAAAAATACTGTAATTTTCAGGGAAGTGTTCTACTTTACAGGTCAAGATCTGGGCCATCATAACTTTTAAACCACTAACTGGTAATCTTTATTCAATCCTAGCCACAGTAGTTCTAAACTATCACAAACCAAATTTGTCCTGTCACCCTTAGAAACAGGCTGCTCTTAATAGATCTGCCCTTATTAAACTTTTAGAAGCTTGGACTTTCTGAAACTTCACATGAACAGGGGAAGTTAACCCAACTATAAAAGCTTATTTTTTGTTTGCATTTTTAAAGAATGTAAACGGTTTGTGTTTGGATCTTTTACTAGAATTAGTAATTTTTCTACCATTACTTTTTCCTTTCCCACTCCAAGAAGGTACTTTGCACACCCTTGTCTCAAGGAAGGACATTGTGGCAATAACCAAACAAGTCTTCTTAAGTCTTAACCAATACTTCTAGTTCTTGGTAATTGCATCTTACTCCATGAGAGGACCAGGGGAGGAGGCAGGACCCAAAAGGGATGAATACTTAATGTGCCTGGGGAGACTGAATCAACATACAGGCTACCTGTCAGCTGTGTCCCAAGCCCCAAGTGTGGCAGACTGGACAGCATCAGACTTTGAGAGGCTGGTCCTGCTTGGACAAGAATCAGTAGAGTCCATGATGAAAGCTCAAGCTCCCTCGTCACCACCACCTTCATTTCAGAATACCACTATGCCTTCTAGATTTGAGACTTCAAATAGCTCCTTCATTTCCATTATGACTGATAGACTGAATTTCCTGCCATCTTTGTGGGATGGTGGTTCTGACTTGGTTTGATTTAAAGGGAATAAAATAATTATTTCAGACAAATCAGTTTGTGTGGACTAAGATTCATACCTAGATACAATGCTATTTTCATTTTTAAAATATCTGAAGTCCTTTCATATTCATGACCTCATTCACCATCATGTGAGACTGGCTGAGTGGCTTTGTTGTTGCTTAAGATTCTCAAAATCCTAGAAGCTGAACTTCACTATCTAATCCAGTAGCTTTAAATGTATTCCCATGGCATGCTAGTGTTTCATCAGCTGGACCAATATGTTCCACAGCTAAATCTAGCAGAGAGAAAAATAACCAACTCTTCAAGTTTTTAGAGGAAAAACTAAATTAATGGATACATTTCTATTTGTAGCTTTTCTTTCACATTTATTTTTCATAGACCTCTGGTGCCTGCTATAAAATACACAAGTAGTAAAGTTTTCAGAAAAACCTTTCAATTACTTTCTATCAGGTTTCATTCAAACTTCTGTTCAGATATAAAGACTGAAAAGGCTATAGTTTTATCAGACACACATATATTCCCATATTTTGGGTAAACTTTCTATTTAACATGACATTGAATTACACAGTATTACATATGCAGCAGGCATAGTGTGTGTCATAGAACATTAAGAATTCCAGGCAAGTTTGAGAAAATAACTAAAGGAGTCAACCCTCTCTTTGCAGATGACGAAACGGCCTCAGTCCCCAATGATATGGACTACACACAGTTAACAACGCAACTTCTAACTTCTGGCCTTCATGTTCCAAATCTAGTGACCCTTTCACACCGCAGGAAACTAAGTCTGCTAAAAACACTGCTAACACATAATGGGATGGGTGGGAGTGTGTGGGGCACAAGGCGAGGGCAACATCAATGACCCGGCCATCAGGCCCTTGCTATTATGCTAAGCTGTCTCTTACCTAAAGGCCCTCGGCCGCTCACAACGAAGAACCATGCAAGATTTCTACTAGCACAGTAGTGTCAGCAGCCACACATACAGGACTATCCCAAAACAATCACAGAGTCATTCTCTTTCAAATATTTTTTATTGAAATGACAATAAAATAAAAAAAGAACAGTGATCACTTTAACCAAACTTTTACTTTACAAATATAAAAATATAACCAAAACTTGTTTCTTTTATACATTTTCCATAAACATAATACCAGAAAAGTTCTCAAAGCCAAACTATAAATGATGCTTGTATACTATGATATAAACACAATAACCAAAAGTTTAAATTTCTAAATACATGACCTTTCCCTCAACAGAACAGCATAATCAATGTATCTTCCCAATTTATCTCTATTTTTACGATATGATCCATTACTAAAATACAAAATACACCTAAACTGGCCCAATCTAGACTTACCTAGGTTTTAGTAAGTTTTTTCCCACAAAAACAAGCTTAATAAATATAATACAAGCTAATATTAAAATGTGTTTTATGGCTCAAATCAAATTACAGTATTAAGTTTCTCATCACGATTTGAACAACAAAAGCAAACTGCTTGAAATGAGTCCAGTTTAACCCAAATAGTCAATGATGTATAACAAGTGGGGTAAGTATGGGAAAATCAAATCTTATGCTACAGAAAGTTGACTTATACTACAGTCAACAACCACTAAGCCTTCTTTGGCAATGAAACTTACAAAATTGCAAACTCTGAAGCAGTCTCAGTGATTGGCACATACTGTTCCAAACACTATGAACTACAGTAAAAACATTAAGTTTGAGGATGGAAAAGCTACTCCAAGCATTTCATCTCAAGTGACTGAACAAGTACTGTAAAAATAAAGTCATTAAAAAGCCGAGAGCATAAGAGCACAACATTTAAGGAAGGGAATTTTAAGCCGATTGCTTGCTGGCCTGTTGAATTTGAAGTACTTCTACCTCTCACTTCTAATTAAACATGGAAGAAAACAGACCGGCTAATTTGGTTACACTTCGTCCAAACACAATGTTAACTTAATGGAACCCTTAAATATCCAAAATAATAAGTGAATGCTAGTTATAAGACAATAAAAAGTTTAAAATTCTTCCAAATGTGCTGTTAACAGTACAAATTCAAGTGCAGAATTATTATGCCATTTTAAGTATTATATACTTTTTTTAAAAATCACAATGGTCTTCCATCACATGGCGAAAAAACAAATTTCACTCTTCTCCAAAGGGGTAAGTCCATCCTAAAGGTAACTACAAACAATTGTGTAAAACTTTATAGTTTTTTCCCCCAATCTATTCAACATATTCCAGTGTCATTTAGTAGTTTTATATAGAATCTGCACTATACTTGGATTACTCAGGGAAAATAAGATGACATATATTGTAGTTTTAGAACGCAAATGAGAGCTTTCATTTTAGACAAATGTACAACATAGGAGCCACTAAAAAATATGGGTCTATTAAT